AAAATCTTTAGCTTTATGTTTAACATTTTCATTACATTGTAATTCATCAACGCTCTTACAATGTTTTAACTCTTTTGCAAGTACAAAATGTGTAAGCTGAAAAAACAAATAAAAATGTTCAATTAATATAAATCAAATAGTTACGTGTAAACAAATCTTATTAGTTCTAATAACTCTATTACGAACATACCTTTCTTGCAAGATGTTTAAAATCTTCAGTGTTAGTTATTCTACCTTGTTTACAATCATTCTTTCTGTATGGATTCAAAAAATGTACCATCACGTTCGCCATATTTATCCTGAAAGTATCTTTAATTTTTCTTTCCGACATTGTGGATAAATCTGTAGAAGGTGATTGTAATTTATTTAAGCTATGACGCGAATGTGATTTCGATTTGTTACTACGTCTGTGTCGCCGTATTTTCTCAACGTGTTCCTTGAATTTTGCCCTCTCTTTTTGACGGCGTAGTTTCTCCTTAATACCCTTGTGCGTTTTATGGTCTATACGATCTTCTTCTCTACGCGGCTGTAAAACATATCAGTAACAATAAGTATTTTGCAAAAAGAAAAAATTAAAAGCAAAGGAATATTCAACGTACACTGATAATCCTTTCTTGAACTAAACCCTCTCGTCTTTTCTTTCCTTCGGGGAAAGTCGCTGTACTTCCAGTTACATTATGAACACTAACTTTTTTAGGTACATTATGCTTCGAGCCATTTAATGGTTTCTCAAGTAAAGTGTTATTTAACTCCAACTCTTCAGCTTTTTGTTCCTCATTATTATCATCCTCAATATCTTCGTCATCTTCGTTCGACGAACTAGAATCCTCGCTGGACTCCGAAGATGATGAAGAATCTGGTTGAACTCCAATGTGGTCCGGCGGCGGTGGTAACCATTGCGATATTCGTTCTTTCACGTGATAGTAATAGGTTCTACCCCTAGCGTCGGTCGCACTTTTCCATTTTGGTGGTAGATCTATGGCAGGTATTTCCGTTTGCGGTGATTTAAATGATTTCGCAGGAAATTGCTGATCCGATTGCTTTTCAATGTGATCATAAAGGGGCTGTGTTTGAATAGCTACGGGCGGCGTTCCACCATGGACTAAGTTATTAGACAGTGGCAATTGACTCTCGGGATATTGTTGGTGACAATGAGGTAGTAAAGAATAGGCTGTTGTGGTTTGATTAAAAACAGGCGTTTGGCTTAACGTGTACACCACTGGCGGTACACCAGAAGGTATGTTGCTAGACATACCAGGTGATATTTCAGAAGAGATCGTTGGCGGTAGGACATGCGAATTTTGTGGTGGTATTGTCGATTGAGAATGTCCAGTTACTGATTGAGGACCTCCTACGTATACCGGAGTGCATTGCTGACTTATTTCTCCTTCTGCAGTCACAAATCGCATTCGTGAAATACTTCAGGTAATACAGGAAGCAACATAAATTAGGAAAGAGTAAAGTGTACCTTGTGTCGTATAATGTTGCCATTGTCCAAGCGATGGGTTATAAAATACAGGATACCCTGTTTGAGGATCTACCATAGCAGTCGTATGAGGATCTATACCTAAAGCTAAACACCTGTTTTCATGATCTTGCCACGATTCTTGCTGTTGACGACGTTGTCGCTCTTCTTCTTCTTTAGCGACCTTCATAGCGAATAATTGTCTGCGTTCGTATTTCGTCATTCGTGGAATAGGAACTAAACTACTTCTTTCTTCTACTCGTTTATCCTTCGTTCGAGTGTACTCAGATTCTGGAGATTCTCGACCTCGTCTTCGATCGCTACGTTTCTCGGGTTCATTCCTTCCATATCTGTCAGACCTGTGTCTTTAAAATGATGTGTTTGTACTTTAACAGTCACTTATTCTTTGAATCTAAGAATGAAACTGTTCAACACATGTGTGAACTTTTAACTCTCCAAAGACATTTCTTACAAATTTTGTGCGCTGAATATGAATCTGTAAATTTCTTTTTCTTCGTGTGCAGCTTTAGGAAAAAAAATTTTACTCAGAGTATAAAAATCTATAAGAGATGCCTATTGAAATTTAAAAGTCTGTTTCTATTTATACCTATCGTATGATGTTCCTCTTTTCTCTTCCTTTTCTAATTCTTCTCTATATCCACGATCTAAAAATAAGGTTTGTAATCTCGTTAAGTTTTAATATTGAGAAAGTATACACATGCTTGGCAAATTAATACATAATTTAATGACATTACCAGCTTCCCTTTCGTGCTCTTTCATTTGTTCAATTCTTTCCTTTTTAGGTATTCGGAAAACTTCCTTTAAGTTTGACCATTCGGCCAAAAGAGTTAAAGCTAGGTCAGGTATAAGATTTTGATCCGCATTATCTGATTTCACTTCACCGATTGCTATACAATTGTCGACATTACTGTCACTCTTCTCGGTATCGTTCAATTGATAGGAACTTTTTTTCTCGCTACTGTCATAACCGAGCTGTAATTCTTCGGAACATAATTTTGATTTTTCCTGGTCATCTTCCGGAGAATCTCTGTTAGGTGAAAAATACAACCGTTTCGACCATTTTTCAACTACATTAAAAATTTTACTGTCCATTAACATTGTCTTGTTAGAAATCGGAAGTGTATTTAAGGTTTTTAAAACTTCTAATCGAAACTGTTGCGCCTCTTCGGAATCGTTTGTAGAAATGTCCATCACATAGCTCCAAATTAAACGTAAACCATGATAGTCCAAAAATAATCTTCGACATGGATGTTCTCCACTTTGTATGAGACGTAAAAGACGAGTTCTATGCTCCAGTTCTCTGCTGCGTACCATAAGTCTGCTTAACGTCAAAGTATGAGCTCTATTTTTCAAACCACCAAAACACAATTTATCTATTTCTTCTTCCAACTGCAAGTAAATAAAATATAAATTAGCAAGGTGGTTATATGAAATAAATAAATTAGTAAGATACAAGGTCTTACATCTTCATCTTCCATATAATCAGTCTGTTTCTTTTCTCCCTTCTTCTTCCTCATATCTTTGTCACGTTTTTCCTTCTTTTCTGTTTTTTCCTTTTCTTCCTCTGGCGTTTCACCAATCCAACCGCGACAATTAGGAGCTTCACAGAAGCATTTCTGCGCCTCCTTACTAATTTAGCAACAAAACATATGACGTAAACAATATCGTTCTTCCATATAAATTAAAATAATATTTTTCATTTACTCTGTACATACCCATAACGTTGAAAATGATAATCAAACGTGATCTCTTCACCGGCAGCTATAAATTTTTTATTAAAGAATCCTATTCTCAATTCACCGTTTACCGTCCACTGCAGAGATATCAAACATGTACATACATGAATATATTATAGGTTGTTTATAATTTATTTAATTAGTTGTACCTACCTTTTGTGTTTCAGAGTTTGGATCACAGCTATGATTTATAAATCGGGAAACGTTCCCTTTCATAGTAGCATCGATGATTTGATCGGATTTCAATGCCATGAAATAATAATGTTTATTTTTGTCTTTTGAATATTCTTTAGCTCTACGTCGAAAATCTTTTGGATCAACTACTTCACCTACATATTCCATTATAAATTCCCCCCTAATAATTAGAAATTGGATTCATCAACAAAATAAAAAATTGCATGTTTCTAGCTTAACTGTATTGTCGAGAAAACTTACGCTAACAAATCAACCATGGCGCGTAAGCCGAAACCTTTTTTCTCTGTTCTAAATACTTCGCATTTAGCATATTCACAATTCTGAAATCGTTTGTTTGTGCAACGATCACCGACTACGCATCTGGGTCCACTAGAATTTGCATAACATATTACAATTATGTTGATTATTTTGGAATGCTCTATAACTAATTTTAATATACTCATTTAAGAGATACCATTCTATCATTAGAAGTCTATTAAGACAATCTTCTCCACAACCTAATTCTCCTCTTTCAATGTCTTCTTCTGTTAAGAAGCAGTCGCACACCATACGTTTGGTTTCTTTATTTGTATACCTGAAAGAAACTCATTATTGTGCATATCAACATTTTATAAACGTTATTAATATAAATCCACAGATAATATAGTTTAGATTTACATAAATTGTAATTCTGCTGCTATTATTTACCTTTCGGTTAGGTATAAATTTTCATGTAAATATTCGAATTGGCTTAATCTTTCCTCCATTTCTCTATCTTCTAATTGTGGAACCATGGATAACGAAATCTTCGCGCCTATAGTTTTTGGAATTTGCACAGCAGCAATAGTGTTAGTTACAACTAAAGATTCTTTTGTTTGTTCTGGTTCTACAGTAGATTGAACGTTTGTTGTTATTAAGGTAGAACCAGAACCAGAATCAGAGGAACCAACGTCCATTACAGATCCAGATACAGATTTAAACATCAATGATCCAGATTCCGAAGCGTTCGGAGGTAAACTTCCAAACGTAGATGCGACTGTTGATGTGGACACAAATCCTGTATTCGAACCACCCATTTCGAGTTCGCTAGATCTTCGCCAACGAGATTTTACTTTAACAGGTTTACAGGAATCTGAATCGTAGCCAGTAGTATTACAAGTAGTCGCTAGTGGTGTCAACGAATCGAATGTGTTCACAGTCTTACTGACATTATTTTCTTTGTCCGATTGTAATTCTGGTGGATTATCTACTTTTATTTCTTGAGCAGTTAAAGCAGTACTATTAGATATCTTCTCACGCTCTTGTTGAGCACTTGATTTTGATACATCTATATTAGGTTTTGAAACCAAACCACGTCCTCGAGATCTAAAATGTAACAGTGAAATATTTTCTAATATATACTGAAGAGCAAATATAAATTAATGAAAGTATATTTACAAATATTTTTTCGCATGTTTAAACATTACAATACATACCTTTGCTTCATTAATCCAATTGATCTAATTCTACTGCTTCTCCTGACTCCAGAACTGTTTGATCCACTTTCAGAACCTGTTGTATCCGTACTACCACTTCGACTCCTAAATTCAACTTTCTTATCAATATCATTAGAACTACTATTACACTTTGTTTCAAATTCTGTTAATTTACAATTGTTCAGAGACAATAGTGTATCGTTACTATTTTCACTGCTACTTGATAACTTTGAATCTTCTCCATCAATTTTATTATCTGTTTCACTATCACCATATAACAGTTCATTAGCTTGTGAGTGTGTAGATTTTCGTTGATTCCCAATTTTTTTATCTTGTACAAATTTTGATTTTAACGAAGACTGATTTGTACAATCCGTTTTGTCATTAAGGGCAGTGGATTTGTTCTGTTCTGTTAGGTTTTTATTAATGTTATCAGGTAAAGAAGCAAAATTGTTAGGATGATGTAATTGTTCTATTTTATCCAATATCGATGAACTACTTTCATCATCAATATTCATGAGAATTTCTTTTTCTGTATTACTAGCAATTTGTAAAGGAGATGTTATGCTTTCTGTATTAGATAAATCATTGACTAATTTTTGTATTTCTTTAGAAGATTCACTAATTTGCATGTCCGCTAATTTGTTATCTATTCTGCAAAATGCGTCATCTTTACACAGAACCTCTTCGGATTCGTTTGCACATATTTGTCTATTTGTATAGAAGTCTTTTTGATCGCTAGTTGCTTCTTTGTTGTGAATACATAATTTTTCTAAAGTACATGGTTTATCGTTTGCATTGCTAGAAGTCATTGGCACATCTATACACAAGGCTGTAAGAGAATTTTCTGTTTCGTCTCTATTCGAGTTACATGTATTCTTTTGCACTGTGCAGTACTCAATATCAGATGTGTTTTTTGAATTAGATGTATCTACAACCATGGATTCTGTTCCATCTTCGTTTTGTATCACAGTATATTCCACAAAATTTTTCCTTTTCAATGTAGAGTTGCTTACTAGTAACACTTCTTTTACTATCATATCATCTCCTTGCCTCAAATTATAATTATCATCTTTAACATCTTCTTTAACTTCCATTTCTTCACAAATTATGGTTTCTTCTATCACATCTTCTGACCATATCTCAATTTCATTAGAATTAGTTTCCATTGTATCTTCTTTACTCGGGTTGCCGACAACTACTTGTTGGACATCCTCAGGACTAAGTTTTTCAGAATGATCAATTATAGCATCTATTCCATCTTGGCTATCGCTTTCACTAGTATCCTTTTTATATTGTAATGTTGAATATTCATTCTCCTCATTAATTACAAGTATATTGCTATTAGAGGCATTCTTATGCTTGTTGTGCTTCCTCAAAGAATTTTGATTCTTTCTAGGAAGTGACTGATTCTGATCATCCCCGGTACTTTTACTATCTTCTGTATCATTTGAGTAAGATATTTGTGAAATATCTCCATTAACTTTCTTTTCTTCCAATTGCTTCTTAGCTATTTGTCTACTGGATTTTCGAACAGGTACATATTTAACTGTCGATTTCACTGATGTTTTCATTTCAGTTTTGCGTCTGCGTGCCATTTTGATTCCATAAATATTTTCTTAGTCTGTAATATTTAAGAAAAATAATGTCTTTTTAGATAGAAAAACAATGAACATAATATTTATGAAGTACATTATTGCTATCTATATACTACATAATGCATTACAAACATACAAATTGCATTGTTGCTAAGACTAATATATCTTATAATATCAACTAGCTATACACAAATTAGTTTAT